CATGTTTTTTCTATTAAAGTTTTAATCTTAAAAACTGACTGATTCTTACATTATTTTAAACAATGTACTGAGTGTAAATAGTCATATATGTCTAGGCTTTAAATAATATAAGAGTTATTTAATATGTTTGTCTGTGCAACGCAGATGGCTGGTCATAATGTTAGCACAGTTTGTTAGTCCAAGAGAAGTCAAAAGTTCGCAACTCTTCACCTGTCATTTTTCTCTTAATCCGCTCCCTAGAATGATTAACACATCATTGTACATGGTGTTCAATTTAAAAATAACACCAACTCATCGGTGTTCAATAAGAACTATACCAACTCAAAGACAGAGAGCTTATGGAAATTATTGCTCACACAGAGAAGGCTTTTATTGTAAGTGTTGAATGGTTAGATAAGGATGTCGTTGACTTGTCTGGTATATCAGTTCTGCAAGATGAAAATGATAAATCAGCTGCTATTAACTATTATACAATGCCCATCAGGGGCGTCATTACAGTTTTTTCAGGGGAAGGGAGGAGAGGGGCAAAACCAAAATTTGGTTGGCTTATTAAGTTGTTTATTACTGGAGGCGCTACAGTACATAGTAATTTAAATAAAACCAGCAAAATCGGGGAGGGGAGGATGCCCCACCCTGCGCTACCCAAATGACGTCCCTGCCTACAGACAGTTCTACACCCTTCCTATCGGCATTTAAACTATAGTCATGCAGACAGGCCTGCACTCTACATCATCATCATCACGTCCTTAAAGTCCTTGGACCGTTGGGGCGCCACAGACGACATGAAAACTATCCTTCTCCATTCCTCTCTGTTTTCTGCACTTCGTACAGCATTACCTAGTTTTAGTCCCGTCCGCTCTTTAATGTTATCTTCCCATCTTTTTCTCTGTCTTCCTCTTATTCTCCCTCGTCTCGTCGTGCCCTACGTGATTTCTTTGGCGGGCCCTGGTTTTCTTGTCACGTGGCCATACCATTCCAGTTTGCACTATTTTACACTCTCCAGGAGGTCATCATATTGCCAAATTGCTTGACGAATCCTTTCTTTCACTTGTTCGAGAGAGATATGGTCTCTAAAGCAAATTCCAAGAATGCTCCTGAAACATCTCATCTCCATCGCCTTTATTTTTCTTTCAAGTTCTGCTGTTTAGGACTCGCAGGCATACAAGAAAATGGAGAGGACCGATAATCTGGGGGCTATATTTTTGTCATTCCATATTTTCTCAAGCCTTGATTGGTTGTGGTCTGGGGAATCCTGGGCATCAATTCGGGCTTGGAGCCTTCTTCTGAGACATAATTAGCTTCTGGTATGGATGTTTCATTTTCACAACCGATTCTTCTCCTAATCAACTTTTTTAATATTATTTTTTGTACTGACTAAAAAAAAAGTGCTGTTAAGCAGCGAACGTCATGAGTTCTATTGTTAATAGAAAATGAGACGTTAAATCTTTTTTTTTTTTTTTTTTTTTTTTTTTACCGGGTATTTTTTTTTTTTTTTTGAATTGTTTTTTTTATTTTTTTTTTTTTTTTTTTTTTTTTGTATCACCGGGTATTTTCTAAGGATAGCCGGATCTGCTGTAGGGAAGCTGCACTTGGTTAGGCATAAGTAATTAAAATTTAGTGAATTGAATTAAAATGCGAATTGAAAATATAAATTATAAAATATAGAAAACATGGCTGACAAAGTATGGTCTACTTTTGGTTTTACTAGCTCATCATACTAATCATAGTCATAGCCATATGATATAGTAACGTTAGTTTTTAAAAGGACTCAAAAATGTAGGCCTACAACTGCATGAGTTACTTGTGATTGCTCTAGACACTCTATTACTTAGTGGTGAAATAAATTTTAAATAGAAAATTTAATGACCGGTTCACGGTTCACTCCCCTACCTACTCAAGCCCAAGCCTACTGACTACGACTTAAACTTAATTAATCGGCCATTATAGCCGCTATTGGGACCCGGGTATCAGAAGTGAGAAGGTTGGAATTTAAAAAAAAAATTAAAATAATTATTGGTGGGTTTGTAAGACAACATTTGGTATCTAATGAAAGATAATTGAATGAACCATATTTTTGTAAACTTACTTCTTCAGTTAAACTAAAATAAACTACCTACCACAAATGAGTGACAAATGAAATCCGAATAGTAGTTTGATTTAGTTGGTAATGGCAATTTAGTCTAAAAAGGGACCCGGGTCCGAATAGGGGCTATATGTGTATTTTGTGACTTAAGTACTTTAGTTACTTTTAGGGCTTGAGGTCTTTTATGAAATAAAATCACCATTTTACACAATATTCCACAGTACAAGATATTATAATTACAATACATTCCTCAGGGGTTCTCAAAGAATAGTTAAAATAATATGCACAAAGAATTCAACAACATGTTATAATATTTTCATTATCATTATGAAATAGAATGGTATCTCAAGTTAGGAACTTAATTCGTTCCATAACTCTGTTAGTAATCCAAAATGTTTATAACCCCAAAACATTGAAATCAATTAAATAGGGACGATCCGTTTCAATTTCAAGATGAAAGAATAGTTCTTTTTTATTAACATCCGGTCGTTTACCTGACAAAAAAGCAAAGAATACATGTTTACTTCACGTTTAAATTAAATAAAGAGAAAGAAAACAACCAAATAAATTAAATGGAAAAAGAAAAAGATTTAGTCTATTTTTCTTACCAAGAAAACGATCATGGGAAATTTTTCACTTTCTTTGCTATTCTTAATTATTAGTTTCTTGTCGCTGTTTCTTGACAGCCGACTAGGAATCTTTTAGCACCAAGAAAATATCAAGGAAAATTTGTTGCTTCCTTTGCTGGAGAATCTTTCTGAAGTGGGCCATTGTGTTATCATTCATCACGTTTACTGCCCTGTTAGCAACACGTCTGTTTCTAACCCAAGGCACTGTTCATAAACCCGAGACAAAAAATTTCAAAGTTGTTGTTCATAACCCAAATTGTTTGTGACCTGAGGTTTTCATAACCCAAGGTACCACTGTATAACACACAAAGAGTGGGGGAACACCTGAAGGATCATAAAAAAAAACTGAGACAGTAAGAGTGAGTTGTCTCAGATAAGTTACTACGATATTTTTTAATCCTTATAATAACTTCACTTTTGTTCATGTGTTTCTTTCTTTCTGTCTGGGTGTGTGGCAAAATCTTTGGATGGCTAATTGACTCACTCCCATCAACCTATCAAGCTGAAACTTGGCACACTCCCATCAACCTATCAAGCTGAAACTTGGCACACTCCCATCAACCTATCAAGCTGAAATTCGGCACATAGACTCTTTGTCAATTACAAAAAATTCTGTTAAATTTTCAGCCCCAACACCCAAAAGTAAGTTTTTTAAGGGGAAGATGAAGGTAATATAATTCCATTGATTTCACAAAATAAAATTGTAAAAAATATCGCAAGTGCGTTTGGTGCATATTTTCTTTTGTTTTTCTGAAATAGTTGATGATATAAATCTGTGTTGTAAAAGTGGGTGGGAATTAGAATATTAAAAAACATTTAAAAAAAGAAAATGCATATAAAATTATTATGAATAAATAATTATTACTTGTGTTCTCTGTTTCTATTTATGCTGTTGATGGCTTTCAGCTGAAAATACATTTGTTTGTTTTAGTGATCAGTGATCCTTCTGGTTTCCCCCTTCTTTGTGACTTATGTTGTTGTAGGCCTATTCTTAATAATGAACATCCTTAGACTTGGGACTTCCAATATTTTCATAAGTGTTCTCAAAATAAGAAATCAAAGTATTCCTTCAAACTTGTATCTATCACTTACCTGACTCATTAATTTCTATGTATATGGTTTCAATTAGAAAGGCCCCATAAAACATTGCTAAAACTAATGAATGAATTTTTTTTTGCTTATCTTGTCAATTGGCATGTGAAAAGGACCGTTAACACAAAATTTTAACTCTTTCTTATTTTTGTAATAGTATAGAACCACACCAAATTTGAGCTTTGTATCTTGAAAATTATTGGTTAATAATTTAATTTGCTTAAATGAGAGTGGACATTTAAAATATTTAAATTAAAACAGTAATATTTTAAAATTAATTTATAAGTTATATAGGCTTATTAATTATAATAAAGGGTTCTTAAATATTAGACCAATGACATATGAAACAATTCTGGGAAAGAGTAGTCTAAGGCCTATGGTACTAAATTTGTGATTTCAACATTGGGTGACTGTCCAGACGCCCACTAGGTATAGAAAGTGAATATAGTATAGGTGTAAACAGGCTGAATCCCACCATTGAATTGTCTGCATAGTACATTCTCTTTCTCTTTGATATTGCCTCTGAATGCTGATAATTTATTCCTTTTTCTAATATGCCTGAATGACATGAATTTAAACACACTCATTGACAACATGTCAGATGTCACATTGTGGACAATTGCAGTGTTGAAAAATATTGATAATAAATATAAGATTTTTGCATTAGATTAGTAGTATAAATGTCTTTCTAGACTCGAATCAAAGTGATTTTCTAAAAGTTAAAGTTTAACTTACTGTACAGAAAGCTGATTTTTATAGCTTACACAGCTACTTATACTATATTATCCTATTTGTTCTTAATATTATTGTCATTAACTGCTACATTAATGAATTTTATTTTATATATCATATATGTGTATTCAGTAAATTTATATTCTTTAAAAAGTAGCTTCTTCTATAAGGGATTTTACCGGGAGCCCATCTATAATAGCTAATATTATCAAAATAAATTCTGGAATCATTTGCAATCATTTGAATGTAATAACATGATTTTGTTTACTAATTCATTGTCAAAAGAAATGGTTGATGCTAGGAAGTAGTAAGAATTATCACTAGGCTTAGTAACTGTCAGTTAAATATTTTCCTGATATGTATATATATATATATATATATATATGTATATATATATGTATATATATATATATATATATATTGCCATTAATTCATATTTAATTTACAATGAATCTTTCAAATAATTTCAGGTTATTCTTTACAGCTACTTTAGAAGCTCTGCATCTTGGAGGGTCAGAATAGGTACATTTAATTTAAAATTAGATCGAACTTCATAAAACTTATTTACCCCACATATGAATATTAAATGAAATGGAACACTTAAAATTTATAATTTTGTGCACTTTATCAATGTGAGTTTCCTTGTTTATGATTATACATATAAAATAATATTAAAAGATAATGCACAATAAATTAGACAAGACTGAGTTAAGAGTTAAGAGGAATCGTGAAAAAAATGTTATTTTTAAAGACAATATTTGATAATTTAGATAAAATAAATTTATTCACTGTTTATTGTTTCCTATTCCTTTTTTTAAAAAACTAGCTTTAGCTTTGAAAAATATAAAGTATGAATATGTTGCTGTTCATCTTGTCAAAGATGGAGGACAACAGGTAAGGGACCTAACTCAAGTGACTTATCAATTTAATATTTAATATGAAAAATAAGTTAATAATTTTTACATTTAACTCACATTTATAATGTTTTAAGTACATTGTATTTTTAAAAAAAACATGGAATAAATTAACATATTTCCATCAAGTATTTGCAAAGACATTGTTATGTTTTTATTTAAAACAAGTAACATAAATATACATAATTACAAGTTCTCAAAAGTGTTGACTTTCTGCTTGCGAAAACACTCTCTGACTGCAGTGTCTCTGCGCATGCGCGCTATTTGACCTAGTCGGCTATCGGGATGGTTCCAGTCCGCTAGTCCACCATAACACCTCCCCGAACAATTACAAGTCCAGTAACAATGGTGCTCAACGTTGTCTTTGCGATCTCCTGGGAATGACATAGTCTGAAGGTTTTGACTGACGAGGGTTAATCTTCTTCTTAGGTGGCCTTGGAGTTGCTGGATGTGTAGACGGTTGATGACTCAGGGCTTCCTGAGCTGTTGGAAAAGACTTCCTGTCATTATATCCAAACCTGGTTCTGAATCTTCTTCTGCTCCGTACCTGGGGCGAAGTTGGTCTAAATGTCTCTTCCATGTGGGACCATTTGGATAAATCTTCACCTTGAAAAGACGTGGACCCATAACTTGGATGATTTTACCGGGAGCCCATCGTGGTTTAGAGTCTGTTGCTGTTCCATATACTCTGACGTAACATGGATCTCCCTTGTTAAATGATCAACTAGGACTTCTATTTGTCCCATTGAGGATGGCTATTTCTTTAAGATGTTGTCCCCGTGCTCAATGAGCAGGAGAGGGAACTAGGTGATAATCCACTAGCCAATGGTGTCCTATGATACTGACATAGAAAGTCTTTTAGAGATTCCTTTAGAGGTAATGAGGATTTCTATATTGATCTCTTGAAACTTTGAATCAGTCATTCGGGCGCTCCATTTGTACCAGGATAATAGGGAGCATCTGTGAGATGTACGATACCCCTCTCTTTACACCAATGCTGAAATTCTTCCGAGATGAAGCTAGTAGCATTGTCACTGACTATGGGGTGTGGATAGCCGAAATGAGCAAAATCTTCTTCCAGAAGATCAATGGTGGCTTTGGTCGATGTAGATGTTGTCCTGTGGATACACGGATACTTTGAATAAGCATCTATCATCACCAACCAATGTGATCCTTTAAAGTTAATGGCATGGTCGATATGTACTCGACTCATTGGTTTTTCTGTCAACATCCATGGGTGGATATTTGCTTTGTTTGGGTCTCTGGCATGTTCTGCACATGCCTGGCATGTTTGACCTATCTCCATGATTTGAGTATCAAGTCCGGGCCAATATACAGACGATCTTGCTAACTGTTTCATTCGCTCAATTCCAAAATGTCCTGTATGCATGATTTGGAGAACCTGAGCTTGTAGTATTTTTGGTACCACAATTCTTGAACCATAAAGCAGACAATTCGACTCCACGGAGAGTGAGTCTTGAATATTTTTAAAAGCTGCAATATTAGCTGCATCCTTTTTCAAGTGCCCTCTTGACAATATCTCATAACTGTTGACACAGTAGAATCTTTAAGTGACTCTTTAGCAAGGACTCCTGGGTCTGTTGGTCTGATCTGTAAACTGATTTGTTTGATCATACATACAGAATCCAAGTCTGCTTCACTTTCTTCACCATCAAAAATGTCATCTGGCCCTGAGGCTAGACGACTAAGAGCATCTGCATTTGCAATGTTGAGTTGACTTACGGATTTGTTCATCAGCTTTAGTCAAAGATTTTTTATTACCAATGTGATTTATCTTTGTTTGAAACCGTGTGTCTATTGACACCCTGAGGTTCTCTATTGCGGTTCTTCCCAACAAATTTAAGTTGTGGTTTTTCACTGCTACAAATGACAGATTTGTAGTTATTTCCCCTGCCTCAGCATGTATCTCAACTCCTCCCAAAACATTAAGTAGGTCACCAGACGCTGACTCGTACTTAACAGATACTGGGCTCAATGTTGGTTGTCCCAGCTTTCACCAAACAGATTCAGACATAAAATTTTCTCCGGCTCTAGTGTCAATTTCAAATGCAAACCTCTTTCCTTCTAAAATGAGTTCTTGAATAATGGGTGGGATAGTTTTTATTTGGTTTTGCCTTCTTATTCTTTTTAGATGAATCGGTTCCAGATGTCCTCTCTTGTGGCAAAAGTGCCAGATCATGTGTTTATACTTGCAGATATTTCCTTTATGGCCTGTACCTCCACACCTGCCACAAGTTCCACTTGGAAAATCCTGTCTTTGAGATGGAGAAAATTTCTCTGCTGTCTGATGTTGCTCATTTCTTTTTGTCTGAACTTTATTGATAGGAGTTTCATCATGGACTGTTTCTTTGGCACGTTTCGCTGCCACCTCTGTTTCAACAGCTATTTCTACTGCCTGTCAAATGACAGTTCCGTGTCCTTCATCTGAAACAAAATTTTCAATACAGCCTCATTCTTTACAGAGCATATGAATCTTGTTCGTAAAGCTTCATCTAGAGGATTTGTGATATTACTAAACTCACAAGTGGCTGCATCTTGTCTTATCCTAGCTGCCAATTCTTTGATTGTCTCCCCTGGTTTCCTACTTGAATCAGACCAAAATGTGAATCTTTCCCTGATCACAAATTTGGTAGGATCAAACTGATCCATCATCACCCCATATACTTCTTCCATGCTTAAATCATTTAAGTTTTGTGGTGGTTCTTTTTGTTGTACGCAGGTTGACAACAGTTTATGGAGTTCTGGCATTTGGCTAGTTAAAAAAATTTGTGCCTGCCTTTCCTTTGGCACATTATTTGCCAACACGAAGATCACATATCTAGCGCAGTAGTCTGTGAATGTTTCCTCGTTACTATTGAAACTTGTAAACTTCATATTAGTAGCCGTATGACCTGTTGCTAGTTTCAACAATAACTCATTCTGCTGAATCAGTCTTTGGATGATGTCCATTTGGGTCAGATTTGACTCCGCCATTGTGTGCATCGGTATACCTCTTCCGTCACTGGTGTGTGTAAGTCTATCAGTCGGTTTTTCTGAGTTGTACTGAGTTTTATAGTGAGGTAATACTGACCATCATACTGTGTCGTTGATACTGGCCACCATTTGTTATGTTTTTATTTCAAACAAGTAATATAAACATAAATATACATAATTACAAGTTCTCAAAAGTGTTGACTTTCTGCTTGCGTCCGGAACACACAGTCCATTAACACACTCTCTGACTGTGTCAAGTGTTGTCGCCTTAACTGTTCCTTTTGGAAGCTTGTTCCAGTCCCTGATTGTCTTTGGCAAGAATGAGCAGTTCCTGTACTTTGTTCTTGCTGTTATGAGCCGGAACTGCCTGTCATGGCCTTGTTGCTGTCTAATGGGGGAGAGAGACGAGTTTCAATTTAATGCTGGAGCAGCGGACCAGCCCATTTTTTATCTTGTACATCATGGAGATCCTGGATAATCGTCATCATTCCTCCAAAGGTGACCAGCCCAGTGTTTATAGCCAACACTAGAGGTTCCTGTAGCAGTTCAGGACAAAGCGTGTTGCCCGTCTCTGGACTGCCTCCAACCTATCGATGCTCCTCTGGGTGAATGGGTCTCAAACTGAAGAAGCATAATCTAAAAGCGGCCGGACAAAGGCTTTATAGGCTTTTTCTTAGGGTCTTGTTTGCCTGGTTGCACAAATTGTTAAAATGCTTGTCCCAACGGACCTCTTCTCCATGAGCACGGCATGGCTGTTTTAATAAGTTGAATTTAAGTCTCAGTGTAAAATTAATTTAAAAAATACTGTACAAAAATTTTTTTAATTAACCATAATACACCATTGATAAGGATCTGGACTTGGATCCAAATACTAGACTACAATACTGCTGCATATCTAAGACTTGAAGTGAATCCACTCTGACCTCCTATCAAAGCTTCTAGTTGTCTATGTTTATGATTCATCTGCCACACACAGTAAATGCCAGCACGCTGTACAAATATACACAGCTCTTCCTTAATAAATAATCTGTGCTACTAATAAGTATAATATAAATAAAGCCACATGTAACTCTAAAGACCTTAGTTACTTATAGGACATTCTCCACAAACTCATTTAATATTCTTTTATTACTCGCTTAACAAAAAAAAACTGTTCATTGCAGACACAATGTTCCTCTTCTTCCTAAAGTTCCTGAAAGTCATGTAGATTTAACATACCCCTAACATTCTCTCTCTCTCATATTAAGTTTTACGTCTGATCACCCCATTTGTCATCGTGACGTGTTGCTTGATATTGTCCATCATCCAATCATATTATATACCTCTGAATAACACTCAGACTCACAGCTCAAGACCTGACGCAACGTACATTCTTAAACACAGTGATTCTCATTACTTGACAACTATTCTTTTAACATCAAAGAGGTGCTTATTATATTTCAGTGTACTGCGGACATTTTAATTATCTTACTTTGTAAATTATTTATTATTTTATATTTATATTATAGAACAAAGAAGAATACAAGCGACTTAATCCCATGCAGCAAGTTCCAACCCTTGAAATTGATGGTCATACTTTAACCCAGTCCGTAAGTTTTTTTAAAATAAAGTTAAGGTTTAATATCTGAAGTCAATTTACTTAATTGTAAAAAAAAAAAAAAAATATCTTTTACTTTTAGTGAGTAAATTCTTTTGATTAATTACCATGCATTTTCTAGATCAGTTATCTTTTAATGGTTTTCCTTATTAGTATTACACAGACAGCCTACAATTTACGATGGGGTTATGTTTCTTGCTATTTTAGGTGTCATATTAGGCCGTCCTTATCTTTTGTTTTTTAAGTAAAGCTCATTAGTAAAAATCATAGGGCCACCATTTTCTTTGCTTTAAAAATTGTGTTCAGATTAAAATCCCATATTAAGTACAATCTTTTGAAATGGACCAAAAACTCTACTTACAGCTTCCCATCATTGAGTACTTAGAAGAGAGAAGTCCTGAGCCTCCACTTTTGCCTAAAGACATATTTGGTAGAGCCCAGGTATTATTGTTTACACTTACCATTCAACTATAATGTTATATTAATAACTAAATTCCTCAAATCTCTTTTAGTCTATAAAAAATCACCCATGTCATGTACATAACATTTCAAAGTGGAAGTCAAGTCTCTGAAGTCAGCAGAATCATTTAACTGGAGAAGTTTTTAACTTTTGTTCTTTCAGTATAAAGACCAGTATGCTGCCCCTATTGTAAATAAAACATGTGCTTCTTTGTTTATAGGTAAGAGCCATCTCAGAGGTTGTCAATAGTGGCATTCAGCCACTCCAGAATCTCTCAGTACTGGAGAAAATTGGTGATGGAAAAGAAGAATGGGCAAAATTTTTTTTAGAGAAAGGACTTAAAGGTAACTTTGATCTATGTAACATTTAAATCTAAGCGTTCTTAATCCAGTTGATTCTTTTAAGTTAACATATATTTCTTTTTATCTTTTTTTTTTCAGGCCTTTAATATAAACCTGATAGATCAAGTTAAAAGATGCTATAATTATATTATAATGTATTAACTGCGTATTGTATTAATTAAAATAGACCTACAGACTTGTAATCACTGTTTCTTTCAGACATCTCTCCAGAGATGCACTCCCACCCCTCCCCCCTCAGAAAGTCAACTGCCCCCTCGGAGAAAAATGTGTAAAACAAAAATATATTTTATAAAAATAACTAAATTGTCATTTTTTATAACATTTTTAAAAAGAATAGTTACTGGTACTTCGAACTGATTACCTATGACCTATGAAATATAGATATGCTAGATATATTTTTGATTATTCATATATTTAAGGATAATCTTGTTAGAGGATTACAGAATTCGATTATAAATATCCTATTGTTCCGAAAATTGGCAGCTCCCAATTTTAAGTCGGAGGCTTACTTCCTGTTGTTCGCATATATCTGTATTTTTATTTATTTATTTTTTGCAGCTTCACAAGTTTAAGGACTGTAATGACCCTCTATTTTGACAAACATCTCTTTTCAAATTATTTTTCATCATAAAAGCTTGGCTTTGAAACTAGGAATGTAATTAATTAATTACATGATGGCATCATGCTTTAACAAAATATAGTAATTAGCATAATTTTAAATGTACTTGAGCTGAATAAAATGAAAGCTTTAAAAAATTATTATTTTAATTAAAAAATCCATCAATTATTTTTCATTTGTAAGAATTTGTGTTTTCTTTCAATGTGCTACTTTTGTAACACATTTCCCTGAATAACAGAGTTTTAAAAAAATACTTAGCCTATATTTATGAAATTCTCTGTGTTTCTGTTTTTAATATTTATTTATTTATTTATTTATTTTAGGCATTTTTATATAGCGCTTACCTTAAAGCTCTAAGCGCTTTACAATTATTAAAAACATGTAAACTAACTAAAATAAAAATGAGACATTAGGATAGTAACTACTATACTATAGAAACAATTAAAATTAATATCAGAATAATAAACAATTTGCCCCACCTATTTGCATGGATTTTTAAAAATAATTTTTTTTTAGATGGGAATCTAGTAGCAAGCTAAAAAAACATGCCAATCAATGTGACAGTTCAGGTATGAATCTAAGCTAGTGCCAAATGATTACCCTTGGTCTCATCCCAATCGGAGTGAATTCAGTAATGTATGGCACTGGGTGCCATAATGCCTCTCCTGGACGCTTGAAAAACTCCCTTCCCCGATCAAACAGTCTAATAGAAACACTGAATTCAGGTATACGCCAAAATGCATCTCTTGATTTTCAAGGGAGGGAATCCCCAGACCCTTCGAGAGCCATCAGTGCCCTCAATTTCTGCCCTACTTCCTGAAAAAAAAATGACAGTATAGCTGGCGCTGGTCACTAATTTTGGTGCTGATAGCACTGATAGATACACCGCCTAGTGGAGTAGCTAGTGTTAGTGCCACCCTGGGCGGGCCAAAATTTATGTTGCACTCCCTTTAACAGAACATTGCAGTTTTCATAAAATGCCGCCGCTCCATATAAAAAAAAGTGACACCTTGGCGGACCACCCCATCCGACCCCCTTGCAGAGGCAGAGCTAGAATGTTTCGCTCTGGGGTGCAAGATTCATTTTTTACACCCCCTCCTCCCACAACTCTGAAACCCTTTATTTTCATCCATTACATACTATCACACCCCCTTCGGCACCCCCCTAGTACGGAGCATTTAGACATTTGTCCCCACCCCACCCCTTAGCTATGCCTCTAGTTTTAAAGCCCCCCCCCCCCCCCCCCAAAATCTGAAAAACCCCCTCATTGGAAATTGTCTCAAAGAAACACTGTTTGTTATATTTGTCATAGTTTTAATTGCTATTTTTTTGTTTTAGCCCTTGAAGCCATGCTAGAGAACACAGCAGGCCAATATTGTTATGGAGACAGTGTTACAATGGCAGATCTTTTCTTAGTTCCTCAGCTTTATAATGCAAAAAGGTAAACATTTTAATTACTGATTGATTGATTTTATTAAAAGAATATCTGGTATTGTCCCCAAATATGGACAAATAGCCAGGTGGATTTGAATTGTTAGTCCAACAAGAGAGGAAGGCTGAAATATACATGGACACACGGGCTAGAGATAGACATATCAAGTTTGGGTTTACACCTGGAACCAACTGGAAAAAAATGCACAGGACAGAGACGAATGAAAAACACTGGCAGACGATCTATGACCTGGGGGTGGGGGGGGGTGTAAAAGGCGTAATTAATTAAGTAAGACTGCTATCCTTGGGATAAAAGTAAGCCCTGATTAAAAATAGGTGTAGCTATAGCAATTTAGTTATATTTGACATAATAAATATAAGAAACATTAATAACACAGAAGACCATTCAATTTTTCATAAGTTGCCTATTCCCAATATAATATGAAGGGACTCAAAATAAAGTGTACTTCTTACAAGATGTCAAAAAATTACCATGGCTGTAGGGGGAAATGATTGGTGTACTTGTAGGTGCTGGACAAAAGGGGCGGCAGGAAGTTGTCTGCAAAGTTTATGTTAATACATGGAAAACATGATAATCTGGTCATGAATGGTTCATTAAGTGGAAGCTTAAGTTATAGGCTAGGGAAAAATCTAATGAAAGATTTAAAGCAGGCCTGCACAACATACGGCCCCCCAGTATCCACTTGGCGGCCCGCAAAGTGACGAAATATTCTTTATTATTATTATTTTCTTAATAGCTTTCGCTCCTGTCCTATTAACTTTCGGCCTGCACAAGTTTTTCATAAAGTATTATGGCCCGCCTTACATTTTGAGTTGTGCAGGCCTGATTCAAAGTAATGCATCTTTCTTTCTAGCAAATATTAAATGACCCAGCAGTCCTTCTGTATTGTTAGATTGATCGGTACAATGAATAGCAAATCTAAATTTGATAGTTGAAAATAAGTGGGTAGAGACAAGGAAATGGATGATCAGGTTAAATGATGTAGTTGTGTCTGTGTTATTAGAGACCAAGGGTAGTCAACAGTTCATCAAGTTATAGAGTTACCTTAGGAATTTCTATATTTAGTCATCATTACATATTTTCTTTAATAAATTGCTGAGATTTTTGTTCAAACCGGTTTAGTTTTGTATCATATTGTATGCTTTCCCTGTTATCTTTATGCCTGGATAACATTGGTCACTATATTCCCACGTCTACCTTTTTCCCCACAAACCTCATTGTACATCCATTCAGTGACACAAGAGCACAATGAAAAGATAACTGTTTCTCAATTAAAATAATAAAATGTTTCCATTCCACATATAAGTACAACAATTTGATTTCTTTGGATTGTTAATGTTACTCTATTTTATTCTTGCTGAGTTTGCATTGTCTATAGAAAAAGTGAGAGCAATCGCACATTATTTTTATGCTGAATTATTATTTCTACATCATTTTGACAATAAGTAATATTGATCTTTTAATCTCAAATAAGAGCTTTCAAAATTCCAACTGTGTTCTTATTCATCCTAAAAACCAATGGAAAACATTTTAAAGTATTAGCCTGCATAAATGGGATAACAAATAAACTAGGTAATTAAAATTGAGGATCTGTATTTTCTACTATTTTATTTCAGGTTTAAGGTTGATATGACTGGTTACCCCATCATCAACAGAATCCATGATGCCCTGGTCCAGTTACCAGCATTCAAAGCAGCAGATGCATCTCAGCAACCTGATACACCAGAGGAGATGAAGAGCACTTAATTAAAGAAGTGTTGTGATTGTTGATTCCCAACATGTTATTATCATTGTTTAATTTTATACCTCACTTACAGCCTTACTTGATTACTCACCCAAATTTTGATGTTCTTGCTAAGTAATGCTTGATCAAATAATATGTACCGGTAATATTGTAATATCGTAACAAATTAATTTTTAATTTTAAGATTTATGTCATAATTATATTATGAACCTGAGGGAAAGGTTGTTTCAAACATTTAGACCAATATGTTCTGTTTCAGTCACACTTCCTTTTATTTGTCAAACTTGTGGGCCTAATTAAATAAATTTTATTCAACTCAACGTTTGTTATTGTTATTTTGTGAAAGGGACATCAATGATCAAGTTCGTACAATCGCAAAGTCTTGACCCCCCTCCCCACCTAGATGCGTGACATCCTTTATGGATGGCCCCTCTATGTCAGTATGTTTGGTTGCTGTTTTTTTACCAGTGACATGCGTTGTTTAAATGCCACACAGGGAGAACTCCCAAAATCATGTTGTAATACAGAGATAGCCAACCAGCTTTAAATTTACGGACAGTCTGTTAAAATTTGTGACATAAAATTACTTTCCTTGAACGTCTTTATAAGACGTTTTAGTGTGTCCGTAAAAAAATGTGAAATTGCACTGAAGGCTTTTGAATAGAAACAAAACTGGAATTCTGGTTCTGGTAATGTTTCGTTGCTGCATCCATGTACTGGCATCTTTGCAACGGTTGGGGGTATGATGTTGCTATTCTAACAGCTCCTAGCTGATGCCTAGGCAGCCTTGAAGTTTTCGACTGATGTCGAGTTCACAGTGGCATCGTTCAGGTTGTTCCATGCTATTATTGTGCGTGGGAAGAAAGATTGTTGATACTGCACTGTGTTGCACTGAGGCACTTTGAAGCATTTGCTATTGTTTCTGGTGTAATTATTTATGGGAATGTCAGTGGTGAAGTCCGTGTTCAGTGAGCTTTTTGCTCTGATCAGTCTACCCAGCTTCTGTGGGGTGAGGTACGTGCCTGCTGGGATGGCCGGCACCAGTCCCATGATCACTTTATATAAGAATGTCAGGCGGAGTCCCTCTCATCTGTCTTTAAGGGGAGGGATGTCAAATCTTTTTAAGAGGCCAGTGACGAAGCCAGTAGTGGTGGATTTGTAGTTGCGAGCGGTAAAACGCACAGCGTTACATTGAATTCGCTACATCGTGTCCACGTCTTGCTTAAGGTGTGGGTCCCAGATGATCGCACCATATTCCAGTAGTGGACGGACGAGTGCGAGATAGGCATTCCGTTTGCAGAAAGTTGGGCAGTGGCGCAGATTTCTTCGAATGAAACCTAGGGTGGAGTTGGCTTTTTTGAAATTTTGTTTATATGGGGTGACCATTTTAGGTTATTTGAGAAGAGAATTCCAAGGTATGGACTATTGAATACTTGTCTCGTTTAGTGAGTAAATATGAGTTGATGTTTTTTTTCTTGAGATTATCATAGTGTAGCATTTGGTTTCATTAAATTTCATGCCCCATGTGTCCGCCCAATTCATAAACCACTTCAAATCTGTTTGGAGGTGGTTGTGGTCATCATTGCTGTTTATCTATCTGTAGATAAGACATTTGTCAACGAACAGCCGCACTTGAGAATTTACTGTATCGGGTGGGTCGTTTATGTGACAGAGAAAGAGAAGGGGGCCCAGCACTGTACCTTGTGGAGCCCCTGAGTCTACGGTGGCTTTCCCTGATTTGACGCCATCTACCACTACTTGCATGGTACGTTGTGTTAGGAATGTTGAGAGCCAGGAGTGAAGGTTGCCGGTAATGCCGTATTGGTGGAGCTTATGTAGAAGAAGGCTGTGTGGAACAGTGTCGAAAGCCTTGGAGAATTCCCAGCATTTGTGATTTTTGTGGTTCTTTCTTAAACGTTTATAAACAAAGGCGGGAGCAATTAAACACTGCTGCCATCCCCATGAAGTTAACCAATGCTACACATGATAGGACTAAGTTAACCAATGCTACACATTATAGGACGAAGTTAACCAATGCTACACATTATAGGACTAAGCGTCATAGGCTAGGGCATGTATTTCATATAACGGGTTCTTAAAAGAGATATGGTCACCCGTCATGAATTTTTAATTGCTTTATCTCCATAGTTTTAATATATTTAAATTATGCACAATTCCATAACAATTATGTTTGTCCGTTAATGTTGTAAAATGACGTTAAAGATTTATTTTTGTGGGTCTGTAATTATTATTTTATTGAGTTGGAAGCGCTGCCTCAAACTTGCACATAAACAAAGCCAACGTATGTTCTTAGCTACAATTGATTATGAAACCACCCGAAAGCCTTTTTCAATATTGGTGTGACCCCTTTCGACAATGTGTTTGCTTAAAGATATTGACTTATTAGCCTCTGTATTATATTTATGCTCTTCATTAGAGGTGTATCGAACATTCATTTTATTTTATATAGATTGTATAAAGGTCCGTTAGAGTGACTGATATTTTTAACAAATTTTGTCAATGACACACACCACCACCCCACCACCCACCCTTTTTTTTTTTTTTACTATTGTTGGTGCTTGTGCTATTGCATGGGTAAAAAAATAATTATAAGTTCATTTCATCCTCTTTAGGAAAATCTGAGTTCTTCATAACAAAGGTCATTTGAAAATGATTTTTTAAAAAAATCATTGTATAGAAATCTTTCCAAACTTTTAGTTTTTTAACAAATTTTGTTAATGACACACACCACCCCCCCCCCACCCACCCTTTTTTTTTTTACTATTGTTGGTGCTTGTGCTATTGCATGGGTAAAAAAATAATTATAAGTTCATTTCATCCTCTTTAGGAAAATCTGAGTTCTTCATTACAAAGGTCATTTGAAAATGAGTTTTTAAAAAAATCACTGTATAGAAATCTGTCCAAACTTTTAGGATCCTTACGTTAGCCAATTATATTGTAAGACTGAATGGAAAAAATTGGTTTCGGTACAATAATGGACTGTTCCATTAAATGGTGATGTGGGTCGTGATCCAAATCATTAAACCATGGATGGGAGTCCCAGGATTAGCAAGAGGGTGACACCAGGGGGAGTTATTTAGGGGAAGACATTTTGGTCTAAATCCAACTAATATATATTATACAACTTATAGAGCTTATTTCGTGCATATTCTGATGGATTGTGGTTTTCGTTTTTTAGGGGTGGCAAAGCCAAGGACCACCAAGTGACAAAGCCAAGGACCCCCAAGGGACGTCACAAACTGACGAGCTACTCCACTGAAGTGGGTGTTAAACATTGTAAAACTATAAAAAGAAAATGTTAGTTTTCGGTGACCAAATAAATGGTTGATTACAACAACAAAAAAAATAGAATGAAGTATGCATTGGTTTTCTAATATGGATTTTTTTAAAATTCACCCTAATTCATGTTAATTATTACAAAATTTGAGAGCAAGAGAAATATTTAACAAGACCTAAAATGAAAAGTTGTTTTTATTTCATCCTTTATATCCATTTTGTCTGTATATCTGTAATTGGGCGTGATTTATCTTTCATGTGATTCTAGCAACTGATTTTTGGTATGGGAATGGTTTTTATCAAACTTAATGCATGAAAAACCTAGTCACAAACACAAAGCACATAGCAATAACTAAAAGCCAAAACACATAACCATTTAAAAATCACTAACATTCCTCCCTTCTTGACGAAAACAGGGCGGAGGGGGGTGAAAATATGATCGAAATGTGTCATCATCGCAACGAGTCTATGTGCCAAGTTTCAGCTCGATAGGATGATGGGAAGTGGGTCAATTAGCTTCCCCTTTAAAAAGTGGGAAAACTGATTTTTGGGGGATGGGATGGCATGGGGGGGGGGGGAGGTTGATGTAAAACATTAGATAGACTGTGTTTTCATCAGGAACGAGTCTATGAGCCATGTTTCAGCTCGATAGGATGACGGGAAGTGGGTCAATTTGCCTTGCGGAGATTTTGCAATCACAAAGAAAGAAAGAAAGAAAGAAAGAAACACACGAACAAAAGTGAAGTTAATATAAAAGATTTTGAATGAAAACTGATTGTTCATTTAGTATTATAAAGCGATGTTTTCCTCCTTTCCAAAAGAAAATTGATTTTTAGAGAAAAATAATTATAGTGAAAGGACCGATTTTGCCGCCCCTCCTCTTTTGCCCCACCTCATTGCCATCCCACCCGCCCACCAGGTTCACCACTACTGTTGCCATTTGTTAAGGAAATGCAGGACAGGGACAATTGACAATGTTAGTCTTTATCAGATTTTATAATTAAATTTCATATAAGAACAATGAAATTTTAGCAACAATGCCGAAGTTTGTCCTTTCCAAATTAAATTCATTATATTATTGTTGTATTGGGGAATTTAAAATTAATTTAAGGGAAATAACTAATGTATTCTTATCGTCATCAAAAGGGAAAGAACCACATGAGTTGTTGTTTTTTTATTATGTATAAAAATACGACTTTTATTTTGTAGCGCCATCTTGTGGGGATTCCCTGAAAACCATTTCCGCCATATTAAGTTTGTATGAAACAAAAATACATCATGGGTTTTACAATCATGGTTTATTTCTGACGCACAGTAGAGGAATTTTTAAATTATGTCTTCTCATAAACTCTGTTATGGAAATAACTGAAGGGCGTTTCGAGAAATCAACTTACAACATTAATCACTCTGCGTTATGCTGTTACTACAGTAGCAGTGGGTTCGATCATTCATTATAATTATAATAATTATAATTATTCATTCATTCACTTTCTAAACTTTCTTTAATTGTTTATTGAATTTTTTTTTTCAACTATTTTTTACAACTTTTATTGACTTATTTAAACTTCAATGCTTAATTAATTTATTTTTAACCTTCACGTCTAGTCTACTGCCTACTTTAATTGTATTAGTCATTAAATTTAATTATATTTAATATTTTAATTTTATAAGGCAAGGCCTAGGCCTAGTTATACTTGACTTACTTTTATGACTATCTATACTTATAATTTAATCTATAGTAGACATTTGATTGTCATAGTCATTTACATTAGATTATAGTTGTGGGCCTAGTTACTCCAGATTAGTCTGGATGGCCCCTAATTATAATATATTAGTAATAGAAGTTTTAACATAGTGTAGGCTTAGTTACTAAGACTAAGTTATAAGTTACTAACAATTGCCGAATTTTTTTCCTGCGAACATGAGTGTCGCAAATGATATTTCAAAAGCAAGAATATTTTTAATACTTCTTACCTTAAGCATAAAGAATCATATATCCAATAGCATTATCGGCTCATCAGGAATATAAATAAAGTAAATGTAAATAAAAACTGTAGCCCCTTTTAAAATTACATTTTGCTTTGAACTAGACGTACAATGTTCTTGATGGACATGGTTTATCAGTAGCACCTACCCCATTAGATTATCTAAATGTTCACCACTCAAAGTGGTACGTTTTTGGACCTCTTGTTGGTCATTTCAGAGAACCCCGCTTCACTGATGTACCAGTAATAAAAGTGTATAATCTGTGTTACAAATGTGTAAAACATTCTGTAAAAATAGCGTACACTTAGATGAAATGTTAAAAAATGGTAACATAATTTATTTTTTAAAGTTTAAATGCAAATTATCATGCCTAAGAATTTATTAAATAATATAGCAATATTTTATTTAGCCTCTCCTTTCATATTTTTAAAATAATTTATTTATCAGGATACTATTCTGCTTGATTCTAATTCAATATGGACTGGGATCCCCAGCGACCAAGTGCCCCTTCCACTCCTTCCAGTATGTCAAGCCAGTCAACTGGCAACAGTGGAATTCGGGCTGAAAAACTCCCAACCCTCAAACAAATATCTCCCAGTCCGTCAGTAGCTGCATTATCAAAACTAACAGATGATGAATTGCGAAGAAAAGGCAAGAAATTAAACTTTAAAGTTAATTTTTATAAACTTATTTTGGATACTGTATTGATACGGTATCTAATAAGTCTCCTACTAATGTATTTTTTTTTCATTATTGTTTTGTTATGGCACTAGTTTGCTAATATCAATTCTAAATGTAAGTGCTTGATGCATTATTTCATAAAATCAAGTTCTTAATTACTAATTAAATTACATTGCTAAGTAAAGGTAGGTTAATTTTATCATCATAAAAATTTGAAAAATTATTTTTCAGGTGTGGAAGATCTTATAAGAATACTGCGAAGAGTTGAAGGAGATTACAAATCACTGTTAGGTGAACATGGGAACATAGTTAAAGATGTCAACAGAAGATATCAAATTTTTGTGCTTGAGACGCGCAGCCTAAAGGAAGTAAACCAGAAATTACAAGATGACAACCAAGAACTCCGTGACCTATGCTGTTTTTTAGATGATGATAGGCAGCGAGGGCGTAAGCTGGCCCGCGAGTGGCAGCGATTTGGGCGATACACTGCCAGTGTCATGAGAAGCGAGGTAATTTTTTTTTTTACTTATGTTACTCATTTAAGTTTTTACAACTTGTAAAGCAATCCATGAATCCAAATTTTTGTTTTATTTTAAGGTTGCAGTGTACCAAGAGAAGCTTAGAGAATTAGAGGACAGGCAAAGTGAGCTGGTTACTGAAAATATTGAACTAAAAGAACTCTGTCTGTACCTTGATCAAGAACGCATTCGGATGACTGGAGACAGAGACGAAGGTGATGGCAGCAGTAATGGTACAGTAACTGGACATGAAGATGGTGTTATTGCCATGGATACCAATGGCACTCTTACTCCCACACCAGCTGGTGGGTTTGATTTTTATTAACATTGTTGTTTTAATTTTATGAGGTTATTTTATAATAAATCCTTTATAATGTTATTCTTATGATTTTGGTGTAAATTGTACAATTGTCATATGTCTTTTACAATAAATTGTATGCCGAAACCTGTAACAACTACAATTGTAAGAGACTAAGTTGAAAAAAAAATATTCCTGTGGATTTTTCCGATTTAAAAAAAAAATTTAATAAAATTTCGGTTGATCGTTTTACTCCTTTCAACATCCAGTGGTGAATGGACAGAAAAATAGGATTGGTTGGGGACCGTCCATAATTATATTTTATGTGCTCTGAGAGGGGAAGGTAGGGGTGCTTTGTAGATATGGCAACAGAAATATTCAGCGTAGTTGCCATAGTGACAAATTTAGTCTACATTTGCTTTTGTTTGCATTTGTGCTGTATGGTTTATTTTTGTGACATAATTAAGATAAAGGAAAATTATTTTTCCCAGCAGTATTTCTTCAGTTGTTCTTTGATTAAATGTAGAATAATGCAAAAATTAGTTCAGGTATATGCTAAAATGAATACCAGTATTTTGAATTTCTGAAAAAAATCTAAAACCAATCCCCTCCTATAAATGTCAGTCATGGACTTGGAAAAGTGACTATTTTACAAATGCAATGCTAGTAGTTATGGTATACATTAATACTGTATGTTTATTTATTACTATTACCATACAGTATTGTAAAATTTCGAATTGTGAAGTACTATTCTAAAATGATGTTGTACCAGGTTTTTTTAAGAGTCCACCAATGCTTTGTATGGTCAATTATGGGCTTTAACCTTTTAAGTAATGACGCTTCACTTCTCAGATCAATTGAATTGTCATTCGATGTATGTTATTTTGTTCCATAATTTTAATAACAAATTTGACTTTTTTACCTCTAAGCCTCTGGTCCGACTGCTAACTATGTCAGGGAGCTTGAGTTGAAAGTTCACAGACTTGAGGAAGAAAAAAAACTTCTGGCACGTGTAAGATTTTTTTTTTTTTAAAGATTCATTATACCTGTTTTTTTTCTTTACTTGTGAAATTTTACTTTATGAAAAAATTATTTCTTGATTTTCCAATTTTTAAAATTTGTGCTTTGTAAGCTAGTAAAAAAAAAAAAAAAACTAAAGAAAAAAATATTTTATAGCCAAATCTTTTACTTTTATATCCCAGTTGGTATTTAGCTCCAAAGTGAAGAGCATTGTTTTTAAAAAACTAATAACAAATTCATTGTCTTATAACACATATGCTGATAAAATACATTTATATTTATATAATATACATTTAAATAATTTCATACCATCAAATATGATTTGTAAAATTATATTCCACACCACATTTTTGTGTGGATATGGCAGATAATTAAAAGATCCTCTTTTTTTCTTCCTGGTGTGTGCTTAAATAGCTTATTCTCATCGTTAATCGTGCTTTCTCAGTGACATACAAAATATTAAAAATCATCCACAACTAGACGTTTCATTGCTTTTATTTTTTTACATTTAAGGAAGATTTCTTTTGTTCTTATTCTTATTTACCTTTTTAAGTCCCATTGAAGCATGGGCTATTAACAATATCTTTCCATGCCTACCGGTCACTTGAAGAATTCTAACTCGGAAAGATCTTAATTCATCCTTTTCTACCTCTGTAGATCAGGTGTTGTTAGGGTCAGTCCGGTCCCCTTGATCTTTCTGGGTTCCATTACAGTCCATGCCAAGTTATATTTGACATCCATTTTGACATCCATTTTCTCATCATGAGCCTCTTTTATGAATTTCTTGGTTTTTAGAAAAAACAAGATGTAGTGTGTTGTATTTACTATATACTGAATTTGTGTTTCTTATGCAAATCTTTTTATAGAGGATTGATTGTAAAAGCGCTGAAGGATTGGACAGAATCCTCACTTCCGATGGGAATACATCTCTTTTATTAAGTGATCCGGTTAGTGAATTAAGTTGATCAATAAATAATTGGCCCATAAACAATAATCTGCATTTATAGAAAGAAAACAACAAGGGCTAACAATATAGTTTTACACATAGTTTTATCTTTTAGATTAACATTTTATAAATAGTTGGAAGCAAAATGAAGACTTACATTATTAACATTTCAGGAAAGACTTAAAAATTTGGGATAAAATTATAATTGTTTTTTGCACTGGTGAAAGTTGATCTAGAAAGTCCACTCATTTTCAGTTTTTAATGTCTTACTGTTTGTCCCTCTTTGGTGTTGCATGTTGTAGTCAGTGCATGGGTCAGTTCCTGGTGCAGTCGGTTTGAGAAAGTCACCAGTGACTAGCAAGCCAGAAGCTGTAGTGCATGCAATGAAGGTTTGTCCAGAATTCCAACAATTATATAATGAACAAAGAGTTTTTGTGTTTGCATAGTCATGAAATATTTTTAACATTTTTTTAATGTTAAAGGTACATTCCCTGACTTAAGTGACTTTATATCCAGTAGTTTTTTTTAAAGAAACATCTGTTTCAAAATTCTTTGACTGAATTCATTCCGCTTATATTTAAAATCACTTAAGTAAATTATTTTAATTATTATGAAAAAAAAAACACTCAGTGCTAACAAGTTACGGAGATGCATGAGCTGAAGCAAAGATCCATTTCTGCAAAAAACTGGTACAGGAAATTGTTAACATATTTGCTGTTATTTTTTTGGGTTGTTTCTTTTTATTGTACATGAAAAAACATATTAAAAAATTAATTTAATTTTAAGTTGTTGAAGTTATAGTGGAAAGAGTCATATCTAGAAATAATTTTATTCTGATATTTGATGAATTCCTTGGGTTGTAAGCTGTTAGGAATCTTTGTCACAGATTTAAATTTGAGCCAGCAACATTATTTTTCACTAGGTACTACAAGTTCATGAAGAGCTAGAAAAAATGCCCATTGAAGATGAAGATTTAGATGACCCAGAGAAAGCTATTGTTAGAGAAATGTGTAATGTGAGTTGATGTACACAAATAGAATTGAATCAATTGTTGCATTCTTCATATACCTTAATTGAAAGCAATTGCCATTCTTAGCATACATTATTTTAAAGCAATTGTTGTCATTCATGACATACTTATTTGAAAGCAAGTGTTTTGAATTATAATAATGCATGTACTTTCATTTGGTGTCTGTTTTATTATTTTTAATAGTAAATGCATGCGTTTAAAAAAAATATATATATACAGTATTCTAAATAAGTGTACGGTACCCAGTAAGTCTGAATGGACATATGCAAAGTAAGGTTAATGAAAGGGCTTTTTTTAAAATCTTAAAATGGTGTTTTAGTTGCTTTAACCTTAATAGTTGAATACATATGTGAGTCTGTCATTATATCTGTTTTTATATTACATTGAAGGTTGTTTGGCGCAAACTTGGAGATGTTGAGGATTTTGGAAGCTTCAATGACTCATCAGATAGTATTTTAGATCCTCCTTACATACCAGGCTCACTAAGCAAGGCTAACGCTCCTTTGTCAACAGGACTGGCTCCAGCACATATTCAACCACAACCCCAGATGGCCAGCACACCAATGGCTGCTGTCACAAAAACTCAAACTGTTAGAAATCAGATTGGAGTAGGAAGCGCAGATCAACCTCAACTACCCCCTTATCAGTTTCACCCACAACGACAAGAAAGGCACCACCCATTGAAGTCTAATGAAGTCCCTTTCCAGCATCACCCAAACCATATGACCCAGAACCACATAGATCCTCCTGGAAGGGGACGACTAGATTCTGAGAAGGCTAAGAACTTTCAGGAGAGATCGGAAGAAGGCAAACGAAACCCTGAGCAAAATTACTCGCAGCATTTGTTATCTGACACAATGAATAAACCTGCTGCTCAGCAGTACCCTGCGCATAATGTATTTCCCCCAACATCATCTCAACGTTACATGGATTCAAATAATTTCTCCACACAAAACTTGTCAGAGCAGAATACGAAATCTTCCCAACACCGTCATCCGCCCCCACCCTTGCAGCCACCACCTCCTGTTGTTCCTCGAAATTCTCAGAAGTCATTGGAGTTAGGAGGCCCCCAACAAGGTGGACACTTCCATTCACAGCGCCATGACTCGCTCCCCAATCAACCCAGCCAACAGCAGCGCAATGTTGGGTATTCCAACTATGGGGGAGGTGACAGTGTTGGTCAGGGTTTTCAACGGTCTGTTCCATCACAAATAATTTTAGCACCTAAAGCAGAGGGTTTTAGAAAAGAATCTAACAACACTGTCATGCAAAGACCACAAAGTAGAGGTGATGGCACCTTTGAAGAAAGGAGTTCCTCAGAAAGAGATACTCAACTAAGAGCATCAACAAGGTCATTTTCATCATCGTCTGCCTTAAATCAGCCCATCTCCCAAAGCCAAGCATCCAACCACCCAACTACGGCATCGCAGCTCAACTTGAGAGCTCCGTCTGGATTCAGGGCATACCCTCCTCAGATGACCTCTGTACCAACACAACAAGTGGCATGGCAAGGGGGAACCAGGGGTCAGGAGCCAACTACAAATCTCTACCAGCAGGAACCCAGGTCAGCTCCATATCAATCAGATCCAACATCTCAGGCTAACTACAACATGACGCAGCAGGGAAGAAGTTATCCCAACAAAAGGTTTCAGGAGCAGGAGTGGAGACAAACATATCTGGATGACAGTGACACTCTCTGAGTCAGGATTCATACTGACACCGACAGACATCTCTAGATGATGGACAAACATATCTAAATGACAGTGTTACCGGTACACTCTATAAATCACTGTCAAGTTATTTTTTTAAAATTGTTTTTGTCGTGCCCCACTTTTGTTGTTTGCTTAGCAATCAATAAGCATAAAGATGTTTTCCAAAATTACTTAGCATGCATAAATAAACCCTAGCAATAATACTTAACTTCATCAATATCATTGTAACTGATAATTAGGTTCATATTTTAATCAGTTGATTTTTTTTTAAACACAGTATTTCTCATATCATTTAATAACCTGCAAGATTAATATTTTGTGTATTTTTCTTGTTTTGTGGTTAATTCTTGACATTTGATATTTCACCAATCAAGTGCCTGATTTATTCTCATGACTATCTTGAGTGTTTAACAGGATCCGTCCATAGATTTGCACAGACAGCACTGCAAGGTTTTGCAGTTTAAATGGTCCAGACAGCCTTTGCTACTATATCAACATCCATTTATTAATAGATCCTCCAATAGAGTTACTACAACAAAATTTGATGCTTCCTATAAGATTTAGTTAATGATTCAGTTACTTTATAGATTAATAATCCCCTTATTGCTACATCAGCATTTCTTAAAGCAGATAAAACTGATACAAATTCAAAAATGGAACAATGTACAATTGTGGGATTTTTTTTCAAGGGAGTTGATAAGTCTTCCAGTTTATCCGTTTGTAAATGTTTATTTTTTTTAATTATGTAAACCTAGACCAGGTTGGTTTTGTTTTCTTTGAAAGTTTTTAATTAGAATTATCATAGTGCTTAAAAATAATTATACAGATAGTTTAATAGCAAGTCTTCATAGTAATTGATAATGTGCCGGTAGCATGATTAATCAGATCTATGGGTAATACACAAGCTAAAAGCATTGATTTATGTGTGGTCGAATTTGAGAGGATAGATTCCAGGGCCCTTGGCTATGATTATTTTCATTGCATGTAATAAGATCCGGCCAAATTTATCACTGTACATGTAGGCTGAAAATAAACATATGGAGGAAATTTATACTAATTGATCATAAGAGTAGAGAATGAAACATTTTTTGCTTTGCATTTCTATGCAAGGCTTAAATGAAGGAAATGCGTTTTCATATCATGGTTGTATAATTGTAAATGTGTACATAATATTTACTGAATGAAATCTAGCAATTTGTTAATTTGCTTAATGTAAATTTGTATAACTTACTGTTACATGAGAATCATATGCAAATCTTGAATTAAGCATGTGTTAAGCTCCAGAACAAAATCCATATTTACATTAATTGTATTTTGTACTTGATTTTAAAATTAGTATATAATAATAATGACAAAGATCTTGCTGGCCTAGGATCATTCAATTATCACAAATGAAAATTAAGCTTCCGACATAAGTCATGGCAATTTAATATTTCTTCTTCTTCTTTTTAAAAACTTAATGGCTTCTAGAAAAAACTTAATGGCTTCTAGAAAATACTTCTATTTTCGGTTTAGGAATGATTATTTATTGATATCTTCCTTTTCTTAAAAAATATTCTTAAAAAATATCCAGTTTTCTGCAAACTAGAAATTTGTAAAATGTTTCTCTTTTTCCCTGGAACAATTCTAATTGAATTTATTTCAGTTATCAGCGAAGCCAAACATATTTAAGGCAGCAAATGTACCGGTACTAATATTTGAAACTATAAAATTCTTAAAACACCATTGTCTAAAGTAAAGTGTCAATTTTTTCTGATGTAGTCCTCATAGACTTATCAATAATTTTATGGAATAGCGACCTGCTGTTTAGGTAAAATGTTATTTACCTTATGTTTTTAAATAAAACTTGCATTTATAAAAAATATATTATATATATTACTTATTGTGATGTTTCATTTGATTGCTTTTAAATGAAGATATGTTAAACATAGTATGTAAGAGAAATCTTGATATTTTCAAATTTTACTGAAATTTGTAATTAACATTTAGGAATGGCAGAGCATTTATTTACATTTTCTACTTTGCAAATTACCTTATAAGGAGTGAAAAGGCGATTCAAAAAATGAAACACTTGAAATAAGTGCATGAATAATAAATATAATATCTAGATGCAGGTTTTACTGATTAACTAAAACAGACATTGTTAAGTTATGACTAGTCAGGTTTTGCATTTGTTTTTATGCTCCTAACACTATATTTTTGTGTGTAAAATTACAAGTTTTCTACCTATATTAATATTAATCTGTAAAAGATATTTGGTTTGAACCTAATTGTGACTCAACAGACTTAATGTCCATAGCATTTTGTGGCTAATAAAAAAAAAAAAAAATTATACTTCACTTATTCTTGTTGGAGTTTTAATCAGTTGTAAATATTACTTTAACACATTGTTTGCAAACTTATAACTTTTTTTAATGAGTTAAAATTACTTTATACCTATATCATTTTTCTGAGATTTTTTTAGTGAGATGTTTACACATGAATTAAATCAATAATATCCTGATAATAACTGCTCACTAATTAATTAGATGAGAATTTATTTTATAACCCAAAATATAGTACATCTTTAATTTAGTCTTAATCCAAAGGAGATTTCAATGGCCTGTTCACTATTACAAGAATTGAATAGTTTCCAGCACCTCTTAATTTAAATGAGTTCACTATTTAATTTTTTTTTGTTTATTAGAAGAATGTTCAATAGAATGATCACTTTAGATACCTATATAACAACTTTTATTCTAAACAAATAATGCTTATTTCACTTTGCTGATTCATCCCAACATACCTGGCAAAATCGGAGATGACTGATTTATTATTCAATAAATCAGAGCAAACCTAACAAACATTCATATTTTTTTAGCCATAGATGTAATTTTTACACACCATCATCTAGAATTTAACAAGAAAATAATATAATTCATTATTGTTATATGATAGCAAAGATTCTCTTTTAGAAATATCAATAAGCATCAAAAGAAAGGTGTAAGTTAAAAAAATACAAATAATATGTAACATTCATGTTAGACTCTATGTTAGCCAAAGCTCAGCAGAAGGGAACCCAACTGCTGATTTTGTTGCCAGACAGAGGAGACCATGTCTCATCTCGTGGTTGACTGCCCCGGCAATGGGAAGGGGGGGTGGGGTGAAGAGGGTCAGTACCCAGAGACCTGCATTGAAAACATGATTTACAGTGACGTCCACCAGATGAGACAAGCCGCCAAAATATTAGCCAGGGCTATAAGAGATTAATCTCATCCCACAAAAGAGGATGTAACATTATCAGCATATGTAAATACTGTTCCTAATAAGGTTTTCTTTAAATTGTTTTTAATTACATTATTTATTGCACAAATCATCAACCAGCAATAATGAATAGTTTTGTGTTCTAAATAAATGTCTGCCAGTGATAGTCTTACCTTTTGTTAAGAGAATTAGTGAATTTCTTGCTTAATAAAGATGCTTGACAAAATATTTCAATTTATTAGTTAAACTCTAAGGATTTCATTTAAATATAATTCTGACATATATTTTATTGAAAATCTCCTCAGATTCTTTAAATGATATGCATCATAAGTTTGTTTTACCGTAACACGATGATAAGCTATACAACTTTTTAAATAATAAACTTTATGTTGTAAAAAAACAACATTTTGCATATTTTACAAAAAGCAATAAAAAAGTGACAGTATGAAAGCACCATGTTGACATGTTCAATAATACTTAGAGACAACCCATGGGGGTGGTACTATTTAACCATGTTTTAAGCTTGAGTGAAAAATAACTAGCATTTAACAGTAAAAATGGCAAGGAAGTCTCTATACAATTTGAAAGATATAAGGAACTTAAAATTTTTTTAGTGATTGCAATCGTTATCATATCATTATTTATATAATAGAGATAAGGAATATGGAAGGAGTTTGGCCATCAGACTTTAAAAAATAAGACTTTATAAATTGTGTTATATACCTTTTGGAGCATATTTTACTTTTAAAATATTGCATTATAACTGCAGTCAATGCTTCCTGAATAAATAAAAAAATTCTAACTCATTTGATATATTAAACCTTGCATAAGAGTTCTTAAAAGGTATAGTGGCAATCTCTATTTAACAATGTAAGGAATTTTGGTTAATCTTGTATCCTAATGATTAATAGTGTACCTGTATACCAGATTATAAGTAGATTACACATGATTTTGTTTGTTTGTGCAGATGCATTAAATTTTAATAAAAACCTGTTTTATCATTCTAAGGGATATACTATGATAACAGATATTGTCATTGTAGAAAGTGAAAACTGCGTCTAAATGTATATTTATCTGAATCTGCTCAAAGAAGGATACTGCTATTAAACTAAAAAAATGTGTATTTTCTTAGAACGGGTGCATAAGGAATGAAATTTTTTTTTTTTTTAGAGAAAATTAATTTGAACTTTCATTTAAAACTGCATTATTATTTTATGATCCTGAAATCTTAAGATAAAATAAAAACAATTTTCTTTGAACTGGTGAATCGTATTATTTTAAACTTATTAATAAGAAAGTACTGAAGTAGAATATTTATGCTGGCTCAGAACTCTTTCCCACTCGTGCAAGCAAACGCTGTCTTTCACGATTCATGCTCTGAGAGAAGGATTCTTGGCGATGGTACTGGTACAAACGAACCACCGACATTACAGACAAAGCTAGCCATGTGAGCCAACAACTCCATATTCCAAACTGTTCAGGAAATAACAATGATAATTAAAGTGACAATGGAAACTTTCATAATATGGGGAGTTTTGGTTTTACTGATTATTGATCAAAGTAGGTAAAATAATTAATTCATAATTTATTACTTAAGGTAAAGTTATACAACTAGTATTTTAATCCAGGTAACCATATAAACTTAGTTAAAACATGGTTATGTCTTTTTAAATATTTCTATTACTTGTTATAATTTGATGTATAACAATAATCAGATATCACATTATTGATTTTAAAACTGATGATCAGTTGTTTTTTTTACAACGCAATAATTAATAATAGAATTTCATTATTTTTTTTTTTAATCATTTTTTGTACAAATATCTTTAAACTCCCAGACATTAAAAAAATGTTTAATGAATAAAAGAAGTTCAGATTAATTTTAAAAAATGAAAAACTGAACGGTATCAGATTTGAAGATCCGGTGGTGACAGAATATTTTGGGGTAAAGGCTGTCATTTAAAAAAATAGATGAACTCTAAATGTGTTTTGCCTAGGATTCATAATGATCTCTGTGGTCAGCTGTTGTGGGATTGTGAGTTTGACAATGTTCTGAAGGTATGTGTTACACAACATAGTGAATTAGTCATTTCAATTATTGGTCAACAAACAAAACTAAATTCTGCACATGGTCAAGTTCTGTGATAAACCACAGGTAACTTGTATCATTAGATTAGAGTTGCTTGGTCAGTTCTAAAAAAAGATGAACATTCAACTGCCACTTACAATTCTATGAATATCATATGTCAGTTTCACGTGACTTTGAAGAGCAATTTGAAAGTGAATCTGGGAACAATAATCGGTTTGCCAAATATAAAAAAAAATAAAAACATCCTTAATATTACCTGTGCCATTTGCCATTGGGTATAGAAGTTCTCAGGGTTGATACCTATACCATCATCAAAATGCAAGTACTGACCTTCCTCACATCTGATAAAAAAAGAGTTAACAAATGTGTGTTAATAAAAACATAAACTTACTTGATCAAATTACATTTTGAATTCTAAAAAGAAAATTCAAATTTCACTTCAAAGAATAAATGCTGAAGATATAGATATTAATATATTTTTCAATTCAATAGACCATATTATATTTTAACCTAGATTTAATTAATGTGAAAAGTATTCTGTTATTCGCTAAATAATCACTTTTGAACACTAAATATTAATAAAAATCAATAATTACTGTTGAATGTATTCCTATATGCTAAAGAGAAGCCATATTTGAGAGTTGAGTGGGTGGCATCTTAGAATATGAATTTGTGAACAATAGAGCAGGCAAGTTTATTTATTATTAATAAAAAATGTAGTTTTTCTTTTTGATTGTATTATATTTAATATTCATCTTTTGATAGTGGAAACAAAAACTTTATTTCAAACCATGTAACTCACATCAGTAAGCATAATGTGAATAAATTAGTAAAGAAAACATCTTTGGCCTTTTTACCTTTGTATTCCAGAAACAGGGTTTGTAATTAGCTGACACCAATCTCTGAAGCCTACACTAACACTCATTGCAGTGGAGAAAATACAAACACAGATGATGGAATTGACCATAAGATTGATAAAAGCATCGCACCAAGAGCTGATAAAAAAAAATGTTTAAATTTATAAACATTTAACCCAGACAATAATTCTACATGATTCTAAATTAAAATGCTAAAAAGCCATATTGTCCAGCTTTGTCTCATTAAAATTTTAAAATGTATCTCTTCAATGATATTTAATAGTTGCTTTTTATTAATTTTTGACAGCTGCAAGTGCAAATTATACTACCTCACTCACTTTTTCAACAATATACAGCATATCACTAAACTTTTTGTACAAACTTTACTACAGCACTCTTATTTTACATATATTACATCTGACTCTTGAGTCTTACTAAAATTATGTAACCTCACTTAACTTTCTGAAGAATCTATTCTATATTACCTTTCTATACTTTTGACCAGCAGAACAGATGTCCACACCAAGTACAACAGAGAAGTAATCAATGAAATGACCCCAATAAATACTGTAAAATTGCAAGCACTATTGGGTCCCCAGTCAACTTCTTGCAAAGTAACTGAAGAGGGTGAGGTAGTATTCCATTTCCCAGATGAATAGAGAAGGCAGTGACCATTGAAATCACTGACATTTACACCAGCAGGAACGCATACAAAGAATGACAGAATAAACAGCAGCAGATATAAGCAGGCCTGAGCTAGTAAAAACTTGTGTGGGATTGCCATTTTTAGACCTGAAATTTCATAAAGACAAAATTTTTGTTAGCAGCCTCAAGTGCAGTGGTAAACATAGGGCAGTCCTTATAATAACTGATATTAGTTGGGTCTATATGAATGATGATGATGTTCCTTGTTATTAGTTACATTAAAAGTTAATGAGGTGAAAGAAAAAAAAAGAAGGCCTATCCTACTTTGCTTGCAGCCATTTATTTATTTCTTAATTTTGTCAATTGAGATGACTGGTAGAAACTACTACTAGTGTTCTAATTAACTATTCAATTCATTTACTATTAACAAACTATAATATATTAGAGTGTAAAAAACCTTTTTCAAATTAAGGGAGGAGAGGGTGGAGCCGAGTGTTACACATTTAATGGATGACGTCAATAACAAAGCAAAACAAAAGAAGGGGGATAGGAGTGGTGGATGCTTGAGCTCTAAGTTGTAATAAAACTAGGTCAAGATACATGCAATAATAATTGCTAATGCTTCTACTTTTACTTAAAAATATTGGCCTAGTTATGTTATCCTCCACCCCCAATCTGTCAAGACCATTTTAATCATCAGATTTGCATTGGGGCTGATTCTGTCTGAGGGTGTAGCTGATAAGACCGATTCTAGCACGATCACTATTTAAATTTTGCATTAGTCTAATCGTTAACATATCATTGCCAATTACTCCTCCCAGACCCAAGAGGTAAATTACACTTTGCATAACTTGGAAGTAAAATTAATTGCCTTAACAAGGTCTTTTAGAAGTAAAAAAAAAAAAGCCTATACCACATCTTTGGCCTAAAGCCACATATGGTCAATTACTAAACAATAGGCAATAGCCGTGTAAGGGTAAGACAGTAAGATTAAGACAGTGAGAGTAAAAACACTAAATAGTAAACTTCCACTACAAAAAATCTAAAAGTTAAAAAAATTAAATAGGCCTAAAATTAAAATGACACAATTCCCATATACTAATTTAATAATAATAATTAATAGGCCTATTTACTAGGTAATAGTAGCATATGATATAATAGTAGGCTTATAGTTAGGCCTAGGTGTAAGAGTAATACTCAAAAAACATCTTGTGATAATCATCCAGTTTAAGTGCCCAAATTATTCAAATTTGTTATATTTAATGAATTGAAGTCTGTGCAAATTCTGGATGTCTAGTTTTAAATTAATGTAAACTTTAATTTTTATTTTAAATAATTAAATTCTGACATATAAATAGCAGGAAGACTGTGAGCTCCAACAACCATTGTCAATCCAAAAGCAATTAATTATCAGAATGCGTCTGCAAAATGACAAGTACACCCTGCCAATGCTGTTGCCAGAAATATCTGATTAACAAGTTGTCAGAAGTATGCACACAGTTTGGGTGGCCAGCTGAACGTGGTTTCATTGCCAAACACAATCTGTTCACCTGTGCTTCTTGTCAATAGCCTTGCCGCCTAAACGCCAACGGCAGCAGTGAAGGATGGTAAGAGATGGAAGTTCCATGACAGTGACTTCAAAAAGTCTCTAACTCTAAGTCTAATATACGGTTCTTTCTTCAATGGCAGCCACCTGCCACAAGTTCAAGAATGACAACGACAATGTCATTGACATGTTATTATTGTTTTGCAGTTTCTTTCTTGGCTATACTATGACTGCTGAAAATTATCAGTATCAGTATTGTTGACTTTCATTTTTTATCATCATACTGTTTTATCAAAAAAATAGCAAAGTCCAAAGCTTTATGACTTACTGTTTTAACTTAAATTATAAAAGTTAAAGTGTATAACAACTGCCTTAGTTGTGTTTATAATGATTAATTCATTAAATTCCATACAATTCATTAGCCTAATGATTAGATTAATTATTTTTAATTTATTATTATTTAAATTTATTTTTTTCAAAATGAAATTGTGAATTTATTTGGGCATCTAAACTGAACGATCACCAATGTCGTATTTTAGTCCTGTTATTAATACTAAAAAATATATTTCAGTTTGATGACTTTAAAATTAAATCATACATTTTGGTTAACTCATAATTAATAATAATACCTGTGGGGCGTGAATGTGATTGTGCAGATTGTTTTTCCTTTACAACTAATATGCACCTTGAACCGAGTTATTTCCCCGTGCATCACCGAGATCTTTGAAAAGGGCGAAACAGTGTCGAGATAACTCGTTTCGCTAAATTTTATTAGATGAAAATTGACACATTCCGAAACGATGATGAGTTACAATAAGCACCGATTATTTTGATCACGCTTGTGGCGTGTCCTCTGAATTGGAATTCTTATAAAGTGCGTCACCTGTAATATGTTTTGTCCAATGTTTACCCACCCCCCCCCCGGCCCCCCGTCTCGATTATTGCATTTTATAAGGGTTAAACTTTGTTTTTTAGCCAAGTGCCCCC